GTTCTTCCAACAGGAGAGCGAGAATACCTTTCGCTTAACAAAGCGGTCAGTTGTAATTGCATAGGCAAGTGTTGTTGGAATTTAGTACTACGAAAGTCGATATGTCGGGCCACAGTAAAGTCGATCTATCATGTAACGTTGGGGGCGGTATCGTCACTGAGAATGGAATTTTCGAATGATGCCTTTGTGTTAGTGCTCATAGGAATATTCCAAGCGTTCGTAGTAGGTACATTTTCTCTTTCCTCTCTTCTGTAAGACGTGAATACTGTTTCCTCCCATATCACAAATTTGCGATTACAAAGGACTCACCATCACCATCACCATCAGGTCCCGTCCATAGAATTTCTAGGATTGTAGTGGTATAATTCTCAATTTTTGCAAATCTATCTGGGCAGTGTCATCTTTCTTATTATAGGAAGGCGTAATTTGAAAACGAAGGCCAAATATATTTTTTGCTCAGTTTTTTTGGTTCTTTTACATAATTGTTAAAAAAGTGATAAACAAAAATATATCTTCATACCTTCAGCAGAAAATTAATTTAAGTAAACTTGTATGCACATTGAAATAAATTAAAATAAAAAGCGCAAAAATTACCCATGCCTCGCCCTGCTACAAACTTGCTTGTGTCAGCGTACATTATACGAAGCGCTCACGCGTGTCGTGCCTAGGCAATTATGTGTGATTATGTACCTTAACAGTTTGAGCTAAACCTATGTGCAACAAAAAGTAAAATACACAAGTAAGAGTTTTTTAATGGCCAAATTATAATTTTTTTTACCGTAATTTTTTTGAAGTTCAAGTTGCCACTCACTAATGATTTAAAAAATATTAAAAAAAATTAAGAAAAAATTTTTACGCTTTATTTTGAAATAACATTTGTTTTGTCTTTTTTAAGATCCAAAAATTCTTTGTAATAATAAGAACTTTACACAGCTTTTCTCTTCAAAATCCTTCTAGCCAAAAACTTTCGTTGATCTTATCAGTCAAGTCGGTGGCTGATTATATGCGGTGGAGGCAAAGAAAATTAATTTTCACGCAATGCTTTCACAAGCAACTGATAACAATCGAACAACTAAGTTATACACATGTGAACATACATATATATGTATATACATACATACATATAAACAAATGAACTAACAACGTTTTGTAATTAGAAAGATTTGTATGGCAGTAAAGGAAGGGTACTTACTTTGCTGCTTCGCTGACTATGTGAGGGACTAGCTGACTGACTGAATGGTTGACTTGGCTATCAACTGAGTAAGCGCCGAGCAGCTTGTGCACTAAAACCGCCTGCAGTGAGGAAAAACTCATTTATCAATTATAGAAATCAACAATCGGACAGTTGGACAGCGGCAGTAGTGTGGTGTGTTGGTGTTGGTGCTGTTGTTGATTGTGATGCCATTGCATTTTGTATTAAAATATTTTTAATTCGTTTTTAATTTAAGTACACATACCAACGTGAACACACACACACACTCAGAGATGGGAAAATGCATTTGTCTGGCAATAAGCATGACTTTTAAAAATTACTTTAATTTGTATATAATTTTTTTTTTTGTAACTTCACCGTCCTTTGTCGGCATTTTCTAGAGTGTAACACCTATATGATTACAAAAACAAAAAATGTATTATTTGATTGCACCTACAAGCGTTCGTATGTACATTTGACACATACCAGACACGCATGCCTACAGCCATATATGTACTTATGTGTTTGTTGTATTTCCAATCACAATAATAATAGTCATCATCATTTTTGTTTTTTTTTTCTTGTGTTCTTTTTTTTTTTGTGTACTTATTGTCCATTACATATTTCCGTTTTGAGATCTTTATCAGAACAAGCGCCTACGCCAGCCAAAATCAACATAAGAACAACAGTAATAAGCAAACGGCTACTTTTTCAAATAAACAATGAGTTAAGAAAACAATTTTAAGTTGTCTCTAGGGAGCTGGAAATGTTTGAAACTGAGTTCTGATATACTATATGATATGTATGTACTACATAAGTTCATTTTTTGGAAAAGCAAAGAAAGCAAAATTTTTGTATATGTGTTCTCATAGATGGAATTAACCAGAGAAAAATGAAAAATAATTTGTTGTCGATTTTCCTTCCTCTTTATTGCTTATTGCTTACAACCGCACCGTGGTCCTTTCATATACTAATGTATGTAGCGCATATGTATGTTTATATAGGTAGTGATAAACATGTGAAAATAATTATCTAAAATTAATATAAAAGTATATTTACGTGCAAATTATCAGCTTTGATTACGTAAGAATAATTTCCACAAAATTTTTTTTCATAAATTTATGAAAATATTAATCAATATTATTTTTAATTTCTCACTCATATATAAAGATTGTTTTAGTATAATTTTTTTATTAATTTTTAAAACTTTTTTTTTTGTTTTCTTATTACTTTTTACGTTCGTACTTTTCTTTATCTGCGTAATTGGAAGCATTCTCTTTGCCTTTGCATAGATTTTTTTTTGAAGTTTCAGGTATTTTTGTCCTTTTTTGTAAAGAGGCATACAACCTTAACACATTTGTACACATAAAAATATATTCAAAGCAAAAAAAATAAGCTTAAATCTTGTAGAATATATATTAAATGAAATAAAAGAAAATAAATAAAAAGAATAAAAACAAAAATAAAATAACTACTAAAAATTAAATATAAATTAAAATAAAATAAAACAAAATATATAAAACGAAATAATAAAGATTTCCTTCTAGGTTTCCTACTTTTTTAGAATAAAGAGCAAAGAAAATTGAGATTATCATTCGATGAACATGCGAAAAACATGTTGATTGCGGCAACGTCTCAGATGGTCCATTTGTTGGGTACGATTTTCGTTGAATCGTTCGAGCATTTCGACTGGGAACTGGTGAATGACACACGTGATATTTTGTTTCCAGGCTTGAATCGAAGCGTGATTGTCCACAGACACTTTAGACTTTACATAAATCCACAAGAAAAAATCTATCAGTGCGACATCACACGATCTTGGTGGCCAATCAACCGACCCAAAATATTAAATTATCTACTTACCGAAGTGTTCTCTCAATAAATTCATTGATTGATGCGATGTGTGGGAAACCAAATTTCGGCAAGATCACGAGCTTCAATTTCAGGCCTCGAATAGTCGGTTATCATGGCGCGCAACCGGACGTCATTGTCGGTCACTTTTTCACAGGCATTATTTGATGATTCCACTGGCCCACAAACCACATCAGACGGTTGTGTTTTCAGTTTGAAATGACCCTCTTGAGTTTGCTCTTCATCCCAAAAGCGCCAATTTTGCTTGTTTGTCTTGATCCAGAAATGGGCTTCTTCGCTGAACAAAATTTGCCTCGAAAACGTTGGATATTCTTGGAACCTTTCAACAGCCCATGAGGCGTTCAGTTTTGTTTTTGCATAAGTTGAAATTTTTAAGCTTTCTTTTTAAGTTCTCGACGTAAAATGGGCCAAGTCATTTATTGCGTCAGTTCTAGTTGCTGCAAACACCCCGGAATCGACCCGTCACGGTGTTAGTGTACACTTTCCGCTGCGGCAAGTATATTTTCTTCACTACGTGCTGAACCTAGCCTACATATTCGAATATTATCACATCATGAATGTTGGGTCTCAAGATAGCTGATGGTGATGCGAATAGTACACGCAGTAGGCCGATTATGTAGACCTTTACAAGGGCAAAGCGCCTGGCACCCATTCTTTATAGAATGTGAATTTTCATTATGAAATGTTAACGATACTGAACAAAAATTACATGGTAGCTTGACACGACTCACGCATGCCGAAAAAGGATATTGAAAAAGTATCGCTGCTTGGATCTTATGTTGTAATATAAATGAAATATTAAGATAAAATATAAAAGTAATAAAATCAGAATAAGATAAAATTATAAGAAAACCAACTGGGTAACAACAAAAAAAAAATGAACATAAATTAATGCTTTATTTGACATGTCGCAAAACTTACTAGCGGTAAAGCATGACTCTAGTTAATGACTAATAATTTCCGCGAAAGGCTTAAGACCCGACATGAAATTACATGGATTTTTATCCGACAAGGAACAACACTTCCATCCTCAAAATCTTCATAGAGGAGTATTCTTCGTTAATGGAATTTTTAAAAATAAATAAATAAATCCTTTAATGTTTTCGTTCATACCCAAACTCTTTATTATTTCAAATATGAGTAAAGCAAAAGAAAAGATTTTGCGTCCAATTTTTTTTTAACATGGAAATCTTAAGCCTAGGTCAATCAACTCTTTTAATTTTTTTATGTTTTTTTAATGTAACATATATGTACTAATTAATATATTCCCCACCGTTAGAGCCAAAAATTTAATATGTACACATGTACAGCTTCCTTATATAGTCACCATTATAATTTCATTAGACATTACAAGCGTGTTAGTAAATATGTACACACAGTCATATATATTTTTTAATTTTTGATATTTTAAAAGTGCGATATTCATTGGCATTATTTTTTATTTGTTTTTTTTTTCGACAAAACAATTTTGTATTTCTTTATTTCTTATTTTAGTATTTGCTTATAAGAACAGCTTTTAAAAATCTTACGATTATGACATCCATTATGATTAAGTTGTCGATTATCATACAAATTAGCCATTTTTGGTGTATGGAAATGATGGTGTTGAGTTTTGGAAATATTGTTTGACTGACAGCGAATGTGGTGGAGGGAATAAAATATTATTTATGACAACGATGAAAAATTGTGTATAATAAACACCAAGTCAAGAAACATGTTTGCAAACAAAATGAGAGTTGAAGACATTCTAATAAAAAATTTTTGCTCACTTGACATAACTTGCGGTATAATATATTTTTAGCATTTTTCATACATTAATTTTTTTATGCTCCAATGTTTTGGTTAATTATATAGTATGTTTTTTTTTATATATTTCATTTTTGTCTTATTTACCTTTTCGACGCATTTTTCTAATAGAAAAATTTTTCATTTTCAGCTCTAACTTTTCGAAATGTCATAAATGACAAAATCCCTTGGAACTCTTACAATAATGCAGACATACATCAATAGGAAATACTCCTCCTGTGAAGCATGAATGTCACTAGTCGTAACACGCATTACGAAATCTGGCACTAACGAGCTTCCACGAGCTGCTCTCCGGAGAGCAAACTCAAAATGGTGAAATATAAAGATAATACGAAAATGCCGAGTATACGAAAGGAAGAGCAGCCCTTTTTTATGTCAACAATAGTTAATGATTTATTACGATGGAAAACGGTGACGCAACAAAAAGTGAAGGAGCAAAGATGCCTGCCTTACACCAGACTGAATACGGAAAACACAACACCCGCGGAAATACAGCGCCCGTACTATAGTCACAGCAAACATGGACGTTTAGCGAGGCTGTTAAGCTTATTTGTAACGCTTTGCTTGTTGCATGCCTCGTGCGTCACAGCCGAACATGTACGCGAACTCGAAGTGTCCGAGGGTGTGCCTATCGGTCATCAAATCGGTTTTATCGGCGAATTCTCGCATGGCGTAGATAGTGGACCACCGTATCTAATCGTGCCGGTACCGGGTAGTGGCGTAGACACCGATCTGGCCATCGACCATACAACCGGTGAAATACGGACTAAAGTGTATTTGGATCGTGAGACACGTGCTTCTTACAGTTTAGTCGCCATACCGCTGAGTGGTGAGAATGTGCGCGTGGTGGTGCGCGTGCTGGATGAGAATGATAATGCGCCGACATTTCCGCAACCGGTTATGAATATCGAATTTCCCGAGAATACGCCGCGTGATGTGAAGAGAACGTTAAATCCAGCACGTGATCTCGATTTAGGTCAGTACAATACACAGCGCTACAATATCGTGTCGGGTAATGTGAACAATGCTTTTCGTTTATCGTCGCATCGCGAACGTGATGGTGTACTCTATTTGGATTTGCAAATTAACGGTTTTCTCGATCGTGAAACAACGCCGGGCTACAGTTTGGTAATTGAAGCCTTGGATGGCGGCAGTCCACCGCTGCGTGGTCAGATGACTGTGAATATAACGATACAGGATGTGAACGATAATCAGCCAATTTTCAATCAGAGTCGCTATTTTGTAACGGTGCCCGAAAACGCAACAGTTGGCACGAGCGTGTTGCAGGTATATGCCACAGATACGGATGCGGGCGAGAATGGTTTGGTTGAATATTCCATAAATCGTCGGCAGAGCGATAAGGAGCAAATGTTTCGTATCGATTCCCAAACAGGTTTGATTTCTGTCAATAAACCTTTAGATTTCGAAACTAAAGAGCTGCATGAGCTTGTCGTAATGGCGAAAGATCATGGCGAACAACCCTTAGAGACAACCGCCTTCGTATCCATACGCGTAACGGACGTCAATGACAATCTACCCACGATCAATGTCATCTTTCTCAGTGATGATGCAACGCCCAAGATCTCCGAGTCGGCGAAACCAGGCGAGATCGTCGCACGCATATCCGTGAATGATCCCGACTCTAAAGCGGAATACTCCAATGTTAATGTAACACTTAATGGCGGCGATGGTCATTTTGGTTTGAATACACGCGATAACATCATATATTTGGTAATTGTCTCACAGCCGCTCGATCGTGAGTCGCAGTCAAATTACACGCTCAGCGTTGTGGCTACAGATAATGGCACACCACCGTTGCATGCTTCAAAAACCATATATCTACGTGTAACAGACATCAATGACAATGCGCCCGAGTTTGAGCATGAAGTGTACCACGCGAATGTGATGGAAGTCGCCGATCCGGGCACTTCCGTGCTCCAAGTCACCGCATACGATCTTGATGAAGGCAATAATTCGGCGGTGATTTACGCCCTTGCCGATACACCCGAGACACATGCCGAGTGGTTTCAAATCGATCCGCATACCGGCTTGATAACGACGCGCGCGCATATCGATTGCGAAACTGAGCCAGTGCCGCAGCTCACGGTCATTGCCAAGGATAACGGACATCCGCCGCTCTCATCGACCGCTACTGTGCTGGTGACCATACACGATGTCAACGATAACGAACCGATATTCGATCAGAGTTTCTATAATGTGTCGGTGGCTGAGAATGAAGCGGTTGGACGGTGTATTTTAAAGGTAAGTGTTGCATATTTTATATATGTACAAATACAAGTTTGATTGATACATAGCAGTTGCACTGCAAAGTTTAGTAAAGAAACTGACGAATGCATGTCCATTCAATGCAGCCGTCGTATTCTCAGTCCAGCAACGGCAAACGCTTACGACTGTTGCAAATCGTACACACGACCGGTGTTGTCCGAAGCGCGAGTGTGGTATAACCGACGATTCGCTATGTGTGCTTATCTCAGCTATGTACAGCTGAGCGTAGTTGGTCGATCGTTCGCGCGCTCGCTTTCAGTACTTTAACCATTATTTCCACTCAATTAGCTTTGGGCGTAATAAAACTTGGGCTTAACACTTAAAACCTCTTAAGCCGTTAAATAGTAAACGAACGTTAAAAGATCACAAAGCGAATGACAGCGTATGAAGAAATGGTATGGAAATGAAAATGAAACAATTGGAAAAGTGAGTAAAACTCGTAGATGAAAAAAGAAAGCAAAGAAGTCTAGAAGAGTAGAAATGCGTATGCGTGCGGAGGCCATTAATCTATGAACCGACAAACAATACACATAAAGTTGATGTGGGAAACTATCTCGAGGGATATCTAACACTAATCCTGTGTTTCGTACCAACAACGCAACGCCGAAGTGTGACAAGCAAATGACATTTGTATTTTATGTCGTTCGTTCGTTCGTTCAAAATCATAACCCTCTCCCCTCTTAAGTACTAACAGAAAAATGCACTCAGTGCTGTATCAAGCAGATAAATTTGTAATTTGAAAGACTTTTGTGAAGTGTTTCAACATTTTGTCATTACATTACGTAGTGTTTGTTGGTTTTCCATGCTCCGTGGGTGTTTCTTTTTTGGGGGGTTTTTAAGCTCAAATTACTATTGTGTCTTAATCCATTCATCATCAACTGATTACAGATTGAGATTTAAGTTTTTTTATATTTAAATAATTTGAAGTTTGTGCTATTTTACTGTTTGTTGTAACGTAATGATCTTCTCTTAAGTAATAGAAAAGATGTGAAGCTATTAAAAATATATATAATATAGGCTTACGTTGTGGCAGAGAGTTAACGATAGAGAGAGAGAGAGAGAGAGAGAGAGAGGGCGAGAGAAAGGATATAAAGCCTTAATAAGGCCAAGGAAACATACCATTTAAGACCTCATCCATGACTGGTTCATTAGTTGCTTTCAAAGGCACTAAATAGAGAAGTAATGCCTCCTCTCTAGCGTTTACTTCCTGATGTCTGTAAGAAAATCCTCTCCTTCGTATAGAGTTTCAGAATAATATTTTTTTTCCTAGTTACAGTACCTTTTTAAGCAAATAGCTTTAGGCTAACAGGCAATGCATTAGTCGATTTGACTAGGTTTCTACTAGCGACAAAGATATTAGATCTAAGGCTGCTGTGGGAGCTATTTGGATGGCAGTACCTGTTGGTATCGCATGTCTTCAAATCAGGACAGGATATGGAGCAAATACATCTGTGAAATATTAGTGGATGCAGAAAAGTTGCTAGTAGATCTAAAAAGAGCACAGTGATATTCTTATTTTGTAACTGTTGATTCTATAAGCACTGCAACGCCAAAAGGAGACCCGCTAAGATTCAACCAATTCATCCTATTCTGATCTAACCGACAAACGCACATCGGCACGACTCATAGCACCTGGAATACGTGGTTTGGTCAAAAGATGACTTTTATATACATTTTAATTCTTAATTTTAAGTTTTGCTGCTTAACTAAGGTGATAAAAACTTTGTCCGATTCTTTGATGTTGCAGACTTCTTGCTTTGAGGACCAAAAATTTAGGCCTTTTTTACTTTTTTTCGATAAAGTTTTGGTACAATGAGTTATTTTTAGTGAGTTCCATCAATGTCGAACATCCTTTTAATCCCCGAACTAAGTCTGGATCACTGCGCCCGCGGTACTGCCATTCGGAAGGGTCGGGTTCAATTCGTGGTGTCGTACTAACCTCGAAAATGTTATAGAAAATTAACTTAAATAAAAAATTAAGCTAAATTTTCCAATCGCGGTCGCCCCTCGGCATGTTGTTTGGAAAAAATCTAGACGCAAATTCACAAATTAACGGCAGACCTCGGCCGAAAATCGCTTCAGCTGTTACAAAGCTCCAATTATAGAAAAAAGATCCGAATGACTTTCTGCTCCACTACGCAAACCGCTTATTATTTGGAAAAATAGGTTATTATTTGATAAAGCTGATGCTAACCCATTGAATGTTTGATAACTGCTTTGAACACATCTCAGTATACAAGTCGATACTGATTCCAGACCACATATCTGGAAAATAAGGTTTCAAGAGGGAGAATGGCTCAAAAACTTGTGGTCATCAGCAATTTATTAAAAATGGCTGATTGAGATGCCGCTGAGCTTAATCTCAGAAAACCCTCCAAGTTTTCGTATAATAGCAGGATTTTTCTAGCAAAGATCTTCACTGAGAGGAGAGCCAATGAGGCAGCCAACACCACTGGAAATTATATGAATAATAGTTAGAGCAAAATTCGCACATTGCATTACCTCGGAGAATTATTTCTGGAAGTAGCTATATATTAACTAGGCTCCAGGCTGCAAGTAATAATTAATGAGATCGTCAAAATTCTCATTCGTACAGTACATTAAATACGAGTGCACAAAGCACTGAAGGGTTTACGCAATGACATTTTCGAGCAAAGTGAAAGATGAGTTATGTTGACATGGAATGCTTCAAGGGCAGGCAAGATCTCCAAAACCACGTGCAATGACAGTGAGAAGGCTTACCTACTTTTTGAAAGGATTGCAGGAAAGAATTAATGGTATCAGATGCGGACAAACAGATATTAGTACCGATGATTCAAGCAGGCAAGCATGAGTTAATGTTGAAATGAGGCCTCGCTTTCTGCTTGGTCTTAACTAGATCTCACTTAAGTCATATAGAAGATTCGCTATTTAAAAACCTATAGGGTGTATCAAAACTGTATATTGAAGTCTTAAAATATTTTCCAAAGAGCGATTGTGTTCCACACGTCAGCTAAGCAACTTCAAGTGATATTCTTCACCTGATACTTGATCCCTTAAAGCACAGGTGCATATAAGACATAACAGCCCGTCTGTATAACCAAAGCAAAGAAGGTTCTAAGCTATATATAAGCCTAACATTCTTAACTCTGAAAAGTCTTCATAAAATTTAGAATACACAAAATAAACCTGTCCGAGCTCTCTAAAACTGATTCATCGTTGCAGAGATCAAAACTTCAACAGCTTAGTATTATAGATTCCTTCTAAGTTTTCCTGGGTCACTTTTAGTTGAATTTTTTTTATAAAAACAAAAATGAATAATAAATAATTGAACCTTTATAGCTGGTTGCGCTCAGCTTTTTCTTCGAAATTTTCTTTAGGGAGATATCGTAAAATTATCTGGTAAAAGCGAGAAGACTATCATGATGGATGTTCTTCTTTAGATAATGTGTGATATATGGCACTTGAAAGGTAAATCCAAGTTGTAGAAATTACTTAATATGCTGTAAAAATTATATACACTTGAGGTGGCTCTCATTATAGAATAACTCTTCTATTTAGCCGCGCTGGAATTTACATTAACCCTGCGTGGATTAATTCGATCTTTGACCTGTTAAAATAAGATTTCCATGCCTACGAATTAATACAATCAAACTCCTTTTTTTTTTGTTAATCAAATTGAGTGAGCTCTGTTTGTGCCCTTTTGGTGCTCCTTTTATGACGATTTTGTGCCCTAAATATGCCCATAGGCCAATCGAAATCACGCTCATTAAATGTGCTTTTCTTTTTTTTGAAAAATGTAGTTCAATAATTAAAGATTTCTTCAACAAACCCTTCAAGTGCTTCATAAGCCTTGTCTCTACATAAAAAATTTACAAAAGAAATAAGGAATAAAAATTGAAAAAAAATTCTGCTATTCTGTCTGTGTAGAAACAGCATTTTGCGCTTCTAAATTTATTCGAAAATTTAAAATAAAAAAAATATTTTTTCTAATGACAATAGAATAATAGAAAATATAAGAAAGCATAATTGGCAAAGGGCGATGGAGTGGCCAAAGTTAAAGAAATAAAATTAAATCAAATACGAAACAAAGAAAAAATTACTCATGAAAAAAGTGATCACACAAATTTGAAATTCAGAAGAACACCGCGCATACCCTTCGCATATACATATATATTAAACTACGAAAAGAACAGCATGAAGCACGCAGTCCGATAATCGACCGGAACACCACCAAGTCGAGTCAAGTCAAGCCATGCCAAACCAAGCATGCGGTAGAATGACAAGTATAAGAACAATGTGTAGACAATTACAATAAGTTGGCAATAATTTTATTAGTACACCCCGCTGTGGTCGTGCTAAATGAAACAAAGCAATGAAAGAAGACGTGGCTAGATTGGCAAGAAATTTGGTGAAATTTTTGAATTTGAAACCATAGCTAAATCGCTTGAAGAGCGAGAAATTTGATGGAAATAATTTTTTTTATTTTAATTATTCTAGTTAAGATGGTTTTGTTCTTGTACGACTAATGATAAATGCGCATTTAATAGGTGTGTCCGAAAATCTGTCAAGATGTAAATATTTAAAAATCATCTCGAGCTCTGAAAACTCGAAAACTATATATGTATACCCTGGACTACAAATCACCAATGAGTATACAAATCACCGTTATCTAAAAGCATTTCGCTATCTCTATTCCTAGTGCGATTGGTTTAAGTAGATTAAAGTGCGTGGCGGCGATCAGATCTTAGCTTTTTGAGTTATATATGGAAGCTAGAAGAAATTTTCTCTGAGAACTTTTCTCTCGAGATCTTTAGACTGTGTGTGGTTTTGAAGAGAAGATCAACTTCTTCCAGTGAAATGTTTGCCAGATGCATCAGCTCGCAGAAATTCAGGTTTACAAGCATAGACGCTTGCCAGAGTTAGAATAATCTTTTTACATTCGAAAGTGACGCTTTCACATCTTTTGGGAGTTGCTCTAACTGGCAAGATCGCTA